ATAAGCCTTCTTGTGGCAAACACCATTGGTGCCCTCTACCTCCCCAAGTTAAATATGCCTCAGTGTCAAAGTTCACACTTCTCCAGAGTAACCAGAACACTGGGGGAGAGGAGGGGAGGGCAGTTAGAGAGGCTCTCCTGCTAAGAAAACAGAAAGGACTTCTCCCTGAATAACAAAGAATAGTCAACAACAGCTACTAAGGCTTAGAGCGTGCAGTCAAGCATTTCACACATGTTTCCGAATTTGAGTCTTACAGCAACCCCATGATTTGTAGGTACCATGATTTGTCTCCCTTTGCATATGTGGAAATTGAGGCACAGAAAGATTAAACTGTCTCCAAAGTCACATAGATCATGAGTGATGAGATGGGGTTTGAGTCCAGTCTGTACAGAGCGAAGTAAGGAACTGCTGAATATTCAGTTATTCAGAGCAAGTTATCAACAAGATCTGTTGAGTGTCAACCACGTAGAATAGGAAAATTAGTTATATAGAATAAGCTGAAATAGGAAGTAAATGTCCTGCCGAACTGCCAGACTCGGGCCATCTGGTTGACCTAAGTGATGACGTATTTAAGCTTTGGCAGTCTGTGCAGGTGGTCTAGGAGGGGCTGGCGCGCTTTACACAGACTGGGGACATCAGAGGCCTTAATGCTTTCCTTGGACAGGCAGTGCTGGCCCTGGAGGAGATTCGGGCCTAGTGAGTAAATAGGAAATGAGTCTGTAGGAGTTGTCACATGGCCCTGATGCCTCTCACACCCCTTTTCTTCCTGCTTCCACTTTGCCCTCTACACATGGCAACATTGGCTTCCATCCAACATGCCTGGTCCTTTCCCACCTCAGGGCCTTTGTGCTGTTTCTATGGCCTGAAACTCTCTTCCCTAGACCTCCATTGGGCTGGCTCCTTCTGGTCGTTCAACAACTGGCTTTAATGTCACCTTTTCGGTGAGGCCATCTCTGACCACCCCTGAAGTTTCTCCACTGTCAGCCTCCCCATGTGACCCCAGCAACTTGTTTGCGTTTTTTAGATTTCTCATGACAAAGTATAATTACCTATCCTATTTACCTGCTTATGTATTTGCAGTCATGCTTTTCCCACCTAGAATGCAATTCCCTGAGGACAGAGACCTCATCTGTTTTGGCCACAGTTGGACCCCCAGCTGCTGGCACTGTGCCTGGCACTGACATGGTCAGGAGTTAATGCAAGAATGAATGTGCCATGAATGGAGTTCATGGGCATTTTCTCCTTCTTCTCAGTGAATTTCAGGGCAGAGAAAGATGAGAGGACACAGTTTTAAGAAGGAAGGGAAAAAAGAGATGCTATTCTTCAGAGAAGCAGGAAGAATATGAACATCTGACTAGATTTAGGAGAAATAATTATACGTGATCTGTCCCCTGCGCCTTTTTACCCTTTAGCTCACCTCACTGCCAAGTTCATCTGTGGGCTCTATGCCCAACCCAAGGGAAGGACCCTACCTGTGGGGGTTCAGTGGTTGAAACCACCATAAGAACTGGTGTGTTTTCTATTGGTGAGCATTTGTTTGTTTCCAGTATTTTACTATTAAAAACAATGCCTTGGTGAATATTCTTATACATCTGTCACTTTCCACATGGATGGTGTATCTGTGGGATAAACTCCTGAAGTTGAATTTCAGGGACAAGAGATCTGTTCATTTCACATGTTTCTATGTATGTTGGCTATTCTCCCCACCCTCACTCCCTGAAACAACAGTGAAGTACAGACCATGAGCTATTTAAACAGGTAAGTTTTTAGAGGAATGTTAGGGGTCTATTGGTTGTAAGCAACAGAAATCAACTCTGGTTAGCTACATTTAAAAACAGAGAGATTTATTGAACGAATATTGGGGAATCTCATGGAATCCATGAAATTATTGAACCGTGAGACCCAGGGAAGCCCAGGAAATGGGGCCATCCCAGAGGCCTCAGTCCTCCTCAGATCCCCGCAGCCTTGGACCTGATTCTGCTGCCGGGACCCTGGCTTTGTGCATCTCAGCTCAGAATTCTTAATTACCAGGTGATTGGCCTGGCCAGGTCAGGAGCTGTCCCTGAATTAGTTAGCAATGGGGAATGACTCTTATTGGGCAAGCCAGGCTGAAGCCCACCCCTGTGCACCCAAAGATGGAGCTAAATTTGTGAACTGGGCAGCCACTACAAGAAGTGTGTGGCTCCACAGAAAGAAAATAACAATTTTAAATCAGCTTACTCCGCTAAATTTGTACAAAAGTGCACAGTCGGTGGCTCAGTGCTGGTGAGGAGGGGAATTCTTTAAAAGTATTGTGATTGTTACACCTTGAAATAATAAAGAGGTGATTCATATGAGTTAGCAAAAGTGAGTGATATTGAGAATATCATGCTAACTGAAGTAAGTTAGATGGAAAAAAAGCAAGAACCGTATGTTTTCACTTATATGTGGGATATAAAACTTCAAACAATAAATGAACAAAAACTCATAGACACAGACAACGGTATGGTGGTTACCAGAGGGAAAGGGTGGTGGAGGGGAAGTAGAAGAGGCTACAAAGGGTCAAATATATGGTGACAGGAGGAATTTGACTTCGGGTGGTGAACACATAATGCAATATGCAGATGATTATACACTTGAAACCTATATAATTTTATTAGCCAATGTCACCGCAATAAATTTAATAAAATTAAAAAAAATAAAAGAGTGAATGATGACTGGAGATTGGGTTTCCTGACCAGCAAATCTGATCAGGACCATTGTGTTGTTTTAAGATAAGAAGAAGCAACTCTCCATTCATTGCCATTAGTTGTTTGACAAGAAGCATGTCTTCATGGATAAAGTCCAAGGTCAGTGAATCAAAAAGGTGCCCTCACTTCTGATGACAGCAGTGAGGAAAAGGCAGTGTAAGAACATCAGAGCCTGGGGCCTGGGCTGACCCATCGCTGTAAAAACCCTTCCAACACCGGACTTATCTCTTCCCCATTCCCAGGCTTCCCAGGATGGAGAACCAGGTTAGAGATGGTGATAGGTGGACTGAGAAAATGGTCACAGTTCTCCACACTCTCCCTAAATATCCACACCCTCTGCAATGTGATCTTGCAGCTCCTTTCATCAACAACAGACATTTATTTCCTTATGCCTTTGGCTAGATGAATGCCTTAATTTGGTCATCAAATGTGATTGCAGTAACCACTTGGACCAGCTCAAAGCCAGCTGACCTCCACGTATGTGAGAGACCCAGCCAAGATTAACAGCACTGCTGACTCAACGCACTGTGACCACAGACACATGTGCCAAGACCAGAAGAAGCACTCAACTAACCCAGAGATTACTAACATATGCTTACTGTTTAATGCTACTGAGTTTGGTGGTGGTTTGTTATGCAGCAGTGGCTAACCAATACAGGAACCCAGCTCAGCCAGGCCTAGGATTAAGAGAGAGTAGCTGACATTGAACTCACTGTCACCATTCTTGGGCACCCAGCACCAGTTCACCAGTAAGGGTGTATTCTTTCCTAACACCCACATTTCATTAATATGCACTGTACTCTAATATACTGGCTCCTGTTTAAGTGCCCTGGGGGATATAATTGGACTAAGCCCCTAGCAAGACTGGGGCCTAATCTGCATCTTCTTTAGAGCCTCCTAGACCAAGTAATTCATTCCACACCAGATGGAAAGATTTCTAGATGAGGCTTTCAAACAATGTCAAAACACTGAAATATGTTGAATAAACTTATATCCCTCTCAGCTTTAGGAATTCGGGATTTGTATTCACACAGATCTATGGCTCTCTTTTGAAACTATGACTTCATTTCCACTGGAGAGCTGTATAGCTCGTTGAAGGTCACAAAGATATAGGTGAGGTCTCCGGCTGTCATCTGTTTGTCTACACATCCAGATGGAGCCAAACCACTGCTTTCCTACACCTGATCAGCTCCGTGTTTTACACTTTAATTTCAAGTCCAGCAGGTTCAGATACCTTGTCATTTCAATAGAGAACCGTCTTATGAATTCTGGGGGAAGAATAGGGTTGGCTCAAGCTGGGTTCTCAGAGCCCCTTAATTCCAAAGAAGCGTTTGTTCTGAGAAAGGTGTTTTCTAAATCTTTCTCACAACCTAGATACTCACCTGTATTCCATTGAACCAGGCACATACAACATGCAACCCCCTTAAGGAATTCACAAATAGGATATACAGGCAAGTAAACCAGCAACTAATATGGAGAGGTAAGTGCTGAGATGGAGAAAGTCCTAGGTACAGTGGGAATGTAGTGGGGTGGCCTATGATCCAGTCTTCAAGGGTGTGGGTAACGAAGGTGAGGAAGGTCTTCTTGGAAGAAGGGATGTCTACACAGACAGGAAGTTAGTCAGTAGGGGTTAAATAGACAGGAAGACATGGGAAAGGGCATCCTGAGAGAGGAAGAGTTTGCACAAAGGTCCAGCAGCATCTGAGATCAAGGCCCTTTTAGGGTATGTAGAGTTCTAGAAAGAATGTGGTGAGAAATGATGCTGGAGTCCTAGGTGAAAACCAGACCTTGAGGGCCCTTGCAAGGCTCACTACGGAATGTGGATTCTATCTTGGGGACCATTGGGAGGATCTTTGATTTGTATGTTAGAAAAGTCAAAGAGGCTGCAGAGAGGAGAGAGTCTGAGGGAGCCCCACTGGGAGCAGTTAGGAGAATTGGAAATCCCCAGTCCTCACCTCCTTATGTGTCATCTCTCCTGAGATGTCTGAGTAGGAGCAGATGGATAAAGCAGCAAAGGTGGGCACCCACCAAGAGGGGGCCATTTTAGACCTGGACATCTGCCTTAAGTAATCAGAGTGACATCAGTAATAGTAGGGAATGGACAACGTGCCAGTATCAAGTAAACAATATTCCTCAGCTCAATGCCACATCATATGTAGCAAAGTTCAACTGTCACTTGTGCTTCTTCAGATTAACTCCAAACTTTAGGTTTTAATCGCCGTATCCAAAAGTTTCATTGGAAAAATGAACTCATGATGACAAAGAAAGGACTGTATTGCTTCACCAACAGATTTTATTAGCAATAAGATTTAGTGGTCAGAAGTCAGCAGGCTCCCCACATGGGGTGAGAGTGAGCAGAACATCTTCCCTCACAGTTTCTAGGCTACAGAAAGTGTACCTGCGGAGAGAAAACAATGGTAAGTCAACTCCCTGTGGCCCGCAGTCGGTGTGTTACGCAGGAGGCCACGCTTTGCTCTCCTCTCCAGCACACCCAGTGCCCGAGACCAGACGTTGGCAGAGGGAAGACCTCTTCTTCTGTATAAAGGACTGGATTCTCCTTTCCAATTTTGTTTCAGGGCTGTGCAACAGTAGAGAGGAGGTGCTGGACACCTCAAAGGACAGGGAAGACTCACCTGTTACATTCTAAAACACCTACTAAACACCTGGCACACTGTCAACCAACACAACCGAGGAAGTGTAAGGTCAAGAGCATGACAAGAAATCAGCAAAAGAAAAAATTCTGAGGCTCTGGTGTTCCATTGGCGAGGCCTTCCTACTTTAACTCAGTAACTGACCTGAAATGACTAATTGTTCTCATTAAGACTGAACAATACTTGGGATGCTTTGAGGCTAATTTTCTTTAATATATAAGCATAATTATAAATTTCCTGGTACATACAAGTCCTCAGAAAATGCTCTTTTCTCTTCATCTTCATTTCTTCCCCTATGGTCTAATGGCTGGCAACTCACAAATGGCAAATTAAAACTTAAAAACTAATATTGATAAGGGAATGAAGGGCACACAATAACTATATATGAATAAAAGTGAACTGAATTTATTTTATAGTAGTTAAGAATATGTTGGAGTCAAATTTCCTGCATATGAATTCTGGCACTAAGCCTTTATTTAATTATCTGTAAAATGGGGATAATAATAGTAACTACCTCCCATCTCCACAATCAAGAGAATAAGCATATCTATCATCTCCCAATTTTTCTTCTGCTCCTTTATAATCTTTCTTTCCCATCCTTTTTCATCTTCCCTCATCCCCAGGCAACCACTGATCTGCTGTCACTATGGACTCATTTGAATTGTATAGAATTTTACCAGGAGTTGAAATTAAAGATGTATGCACTCTTTTGTCTTTTCCAACTGGTTTATTTCCCTCAACCTGAAGACCTTCCTTTAACATTTCTAATGTTGACCTGCTGGTGATAAATTCTTTTAGTTTTTGTATATCTGAAAGGTCTTTATTTCATCTTTATCTTTGAAAGATATTTTTGTGGGTATAGAATTCTAGGTTAACAGTTTTTTTCCTTTCAGTACTTTAAGACAGTTGTTTCACTGTCTTCTCACTTGCATTTCCGATGATAAGTTTGCTGTAATTATTATCCTTATTTCTCTGTGTGTAATGCATATTTTTCTTCTGGCTGCTTAAAGATTTTTCTCTTTATGACTAGTTTTGAGCAATTTAATCTTGATGTGTGTTGGTTAGTTTCCTTCATGTTTCTTGTTATATCACTGAGACCTAATGGTTTATAGTTTCACCAAGATTGAAAATTTATTCAAATATATATTTTTATCTGAAACAATTGTAAGGGTCTACCTTATTTGTTTCTTATCTCTCGGGGGTCACTTTCCTTTGTTGCTTAATGTTCAATGTCTAGAAACTGTTATTTTATATATTTTTATCTGAATTTTTGGTTGTTTTCCAGTTGGGAAGGTGTATCCAGTCGCTGTTATTCCACCTTTGCCAGAAGCAAAAGCCCTCTCATTGGGCTTTTATGAGGACTGGGGAACATGATGACGAAAGAGGCATAACACTGTGCCTCAGAATTTGGCTTTATATTCAAATCACTGGGCTAATTAATATTGGTTTGGTGCTGACCACCAACATCCTCAGCTCACTTTTTCTGGTGTTTCACTCTGCTACATATCATTTGGTTCACACACACTTTAGTCTTGGTGAGAACCCAAAGGCTGACCTTTGTCTTCAGTAAGAGGGCTAATGATCCAGAATAGCCTATCTGTATTCCTTGACAAGTTAAATATTTTTCTGATCATTTAAGTGGCAATTGGGTGAACCCAGAACATTTGGGGAAGATACACATGTTAAGCACACACATAGCACAAGGCATAGTAGCTGAATAACATCAAGTTTCTCACCTTAAATCATGAAACCAGAATTTCATTCTAACACTGTTGAGATAACACAACACTCATCTACAAATTTATCAAAGTTGTTTCCCTAAAGTTCTGCACTTTATCCTAAAGAAACAAGAGGTAGGAGGAAGCAGGTGTGGGTGGGATGTAGGAGAACCATCACAAGAGATTTGACTTAAAATCAACTTCCAGTGGGAATAGAACTATAAATGTGATTCAATACTTCAAATCTCTTTGGATTTTTATTACTTACAGTTTCCCATCATTTCTTTGCACCATGACCCGGGATGCTCCCACTTTGGGTAGAGTCGGGTTGATCACATTGTTATACCAAATAAATTTAACATTCTTCAAATCTCCAACATCCACATCTGAGTCAAATTCATTGGTATGAATACTGGATGGTCGGAGAACGCCCCTTGGAAATTAAAAGGTAGTAAAAACATACATAAATTTACATACATATACAGAAATAGATTTCTAAAACCAGTTCGTATCTCTAGTACAATAACTGATGGTACATTTGTCATTTGAATGTATTAAATAAGTGCAGACATGTATGCTCAGTGTTAGCTTGTCTGCCATCAATAACTCATATTACTTAAAGTCATTCTTACTACTAATAAAACTTCAAACATGATTTAGTCACTAATCCTCTCACAACGTAATAAATGATGGCATCATTATATCATCTTTCCCCAGTTGTTTTGTGGACAGAATTATTCTTTACTGATTATAAATCAGATGCCACTCATCCCAGTAAACATCAGGGGTTTTCTCAGGAAATAGCAGAGAGAAAAATTAGAAACAAAATTCTGAAATGTGTGAAGGTGCAAGGGTGAAATCACCTCTTCCTTTTGATGATGGGTGGCAGTAGCTTATGTTCATATAGTAATAGATCAACTCTTATGTCCATAACATATATTGAATGCGCGAGGTATTCCAACACTTAGGAAGCTTAGAGTTGTATTTCACTCACTTGAAAACTTCGTACTGCTTAGAATTTCCTCTGTCGCCAAACAAAGAAACTAGCACGTGTCCTCTGACCTTCTTTCCAGACAGAATAACAGTTACCCTATACCTCCAACCTGTATGGGGCGGGGGGAGGGGGTGGAATGCAAAAGGTCAGCTTGCAGAGAAGACACTGAAAACAGGCTAAGTTGAATTCACTGCTGCTGCACCCTGAGTAACTAATATAGGGTGTCCCAAAATTCACGCAAGATTTGAATTTTGCGTGAGCATTAACAACAACAAAAAAATAAAAGCCTAATTTTACTTGGATTACTGAATCAGATTCTAATATCTGTTGCCCTTTGATTTCAATCCCTTCAATTTGATAAGCATTACCAAGTACCAATTATGGCCCAGGAGCAGGGACAATGAAGACCAATGAAGACCACGGCTTTGCATATGTGCCAGCAAAGCCATGGAGGCCATTTACCCGATGTGCTATTCCATACATAACCCTATACTGTATACTTTATGAATCAATAAAAAATTTACAATTTTTAAATATAAACCTGTGTTTTCTATCAAAATTACTTCTTGTGTGAATTTTGGGACACCCTATACATGTGTTGGTAGTTCTCAGAGCCACAGACATTCCTTTATCTAACCTTTCAGGGGACAGGCACTGGGGGAGGGGAAGAGCAGGCCCTCTTTCCAAAGTCAATAGATTTCAAGACAAGGGAAAAGGTAAATCTTTTGATTTCAATTTCTTTAACCTGACAATGTATTCTTAAATGTTAAAAGAACTTTATGTTAAAACATAGTAGAAAATATGACATTTTCATCAGTTTATTTCATTTTTATAGTAGCATTATCTCTTTTGTCTAAATAGAGTACATTTATTTTAAAAATTATACAATTCAACTTTCCATTGCCATTGAAAATGTATTAATTTGTGGTAACCAATTTATGGTACTATTCAATTGTAAACTA